AGCACGCCAAATGAAAAATTTACGAGGTCTGGCTTGTACAAACTCATAAAATCATCATTACAGTGTGATAGATATTCCATATAAAAAGAATCTTCTATACACATAATAAAGAATAAGCACTTAAATCTTTATATCGATGATGGTGTATTTTATTTGCTTCAGTATACATGCATGTATACATTAAATAATTCTACAAATTCAGTGAGGGGGATCCAACTCCCCCCCCCCTTCCTCCCCCCGAACTCTGCATGTTTTACTTTTTCCTTAAGCGGGGGACACAAATTCTCTGAATTAGCTTGTATTTAATCAATTGAAGAAGGGGTTTAAGATAAAGATACCTGTTTGCCTAAACTTCTAGGGAGCTCAAAGCTCAAAGTAGAAAGAAATAAGACATATAAGTCAGAAAAAAGGAAATCATTTTGGGTCTTATAAATATTGTATTCACTCTATATGGTAAGATTTGCATACGTATGTATTTTTAAAGATAAGTAAAATTTGGGAAATTTTGGTTGTTTAAATGCAAAGCAGGTAAACATTTTAAGCAGAGGGCATTCTTTTCATTGAGAGGCAGACACGTACATGTAGGAAAACACGTTTTTATAATCAATATTAAATAATGAGCTTCACGTTAAAATGGTCAGGCCAATTTGCTGTTGTGGTAAACAAGGAAAAAGAAAAATTGCTGGAATAGATTTTATCATTTATGTGGTTACCAAGAGACAAATCTCGTTACTTAACATTATAGATAGACCTTGGACTTGCAAAGCTAGGGGTCATGTAAAACAAAAACAAAACTGAAACAAAGATGAGGAGAATTTGAGCCGAAGAGCTAGATTTTATTGAATCAATGGGCGACAAGCAAATTGGAACTATTTGATTTAGAAAAATATATGATTGGCATATACACTTTATTTGTATGGCAAGATAACCATAATAAACGTTTCAAATCTGATAGCGCGAAGGATCCCTTTCTTTTACTTTATAAAATTTGGGAACATTTCTTCACCAATTCTTAAAGTATTTTAATTCCGTTCAATATTCGAATACTGTTCTATATTGATGAAAACAAATTCCCGAAAAAAACTCCAAAAACCCTCCAACGCTTAAGATTTAGGTAATGATTGCAAAAGCGTTCTAACAAATAGATGGAATTCCTATGGGAACTAATTGTGCTTCCTTACTAGTCTAGCTGTTTTTGAATTTTAATGGAGCAGAATTTAAAAAAAAATCTTTAACAAAAGAAGAGGAAATCAATTGCTATTGAAATCAACTCGACTTTCAGAAATATCAATTTTTTATCACTTGTCCTTAAATTTGTTCCATTCATAATTCGACTCGATATACCCTAAGGCTAGTGAATTCAAAATTAAAGACACGCCACAGTATATGTCGAAATGAAGGCCAAAGCAACAGTTGTTTTTTTACCAAGATTTTTATTGTTTCATCTTCATAAGCATATAGGAACAAAAGAACACAATAAAAGCATGGAAATTCTTACAGCTTATTGGATGACCTCAAAAGACTACAAAGATAGGCAAGGTAAATCATATTCACCTGCTCTGGAGTGGAATGACATTTAAATTAGAAATTGTTCACTTATCAATTGGTTTCTGCTGTAAGAAAGATAACCCTCTCTGGTGACTGGCATAAGGTTATTTTCGTATATTTTAAATTTGTTGATACACAATACAGTAAAGCACGGTTAAAACGAACACGCTTATAATGAAATGACGCTTATAACGAAGTGATTTTCATTTCCCATGACTTTAAAAGGTTTGTTCCCATCTCGCCTTAACTGTAAAATTTAGCATTCCCATTTCGCCTTAGTAAGCTCTCAGGTGAGTTAAGGTGATGAAGATCACTTTATATAGCATAAAGTATTTTTTGGTATTTCACGTGTTATTTCATTCACAGAATTCATAAATTCTTATTTGTTGTTAAATTCAATCTAAAAAATGTTATCATTTGAATTTTTATATCAACCTAGTAGTTATATTTACAAATACTAAAATTCCCATTTCGCCTTAGTACTTTTTTTCTTACCTTTATTTCACAGTTAAGGCGAAATGGGAACACACCCTTTAAAATATACCAGGACCCAAGACCATAAAGTGAGAATAGAATTAAGTCGAAATTTTAAATCAGTATAACTTTTGAAATAAATTTCAAATTGAAACAAAATTTTCAAGTTAATATGTTGATATTTAAATATTCAAGATACTTGAAAAATATTAGTCATGTTCATGAAATAATAATTAAAATATTTAAAATCTAAATTTTGACACTTAAGCCTATTGTCAGTTTATGGTCTTGGGGCCAGGACTTTAATTGGTATAAGGAAATTACGTTTATGTGGAAGCTAAATCGCCCGTCCTTGGCACCTCGTTATAAGTGTGTTTTAATGTATTCATGTACTGCTATCTTGTCTATCATTAGTCTGTGCATTACTAACAATGTATTTATGTAATTTTTATTTTCGATTAAGAGAGCCTACAAACAAACCATTCTATTGAAGTACTTCACAAATAATGCTACTTTCTAAAAAAAATGACATTGTTTAAGTTTGACTACGATTTTGTTTGATTGTAGCTTCGCAAAGTGTGATCTTGTAAATATCTACATATCTATAAATAATATATTTTTTATTGATTTCGATTTCTTATTTTAAAAAAATGTCCTTAATGCTGAGAGGAACAAAATTTTAATAATAGTTTCAAAATAAAAATGCTATTATCCATAAATTCCTTGCCTGATTTCAGCCTCTCTGTCTACCATTCCTCGTTGCTGCGATTGACTTTTTTTTTCTATCTAAAAAAAAAATAACAATCTGATTAAAATTCAGATCTCTTCATAAACGATAAAGCGCAAAGCAGCTTTGTGCTATGTAGAGATCTGTATTTTAATCAGATTGAAAAAATAAAATCTTTTTTTGAAAACAAGAACCTCCTGATTTGTTATTTCATATGAATTTAACATTTTCAATATATAAAAAAAAAATTAAACATTCAAAATTCTTGTTGGGCTTGTTAACTATTCGATTTTAAAGAAGAGTTGACATTTTCTGTAATTGTCTGTGCATGATATATTTTTTTCAATCAAAAGATCATTCGATATTAAAGCTTAACAATTTTTTTACAGATTGTATTAATATGATTTTAATTGTAGTGAAAAATCGATACTTAGGGAGAAAAAAAAATTGGCGAGATTGCACTCGCCAAATCCACTCCGTTTTACCAGCATGGTAAGGACTCTGGAGGGTGTTTATATACTTAAGGAAAAGACCTCGCGGGAAATCTCCGTCGCATTCAGCTACGAATTCTATAGCAGAAATTAAAATTTGCTTCTCTTGATAAATCTAACAGTCCTATACGGCGTAGAGATGACAAGAGACAACGAACAGTTTCCCAGGAAACCTCTATGGCACCATTTACCGACTCCGATTTTTAAAAATTGTTGTAGCTAAGTCTCGTTTAAACGAGATCATCGTTATAATCCCTGACATAGAAAAATATGTCTTTGTCGTTCCCTTTCCATGTGAAGTGCTGTGCTTGTAAAAAAAAACTCAGATTGAAGACTTTTCCAAGGTTTTTTTTTTTTGCAGGAGACTTGATTATCCGCAAAGACCAGTTTTATGCCTAAGAGTAACCGTCTTCAGCTTCTAATTTGCAATCAATAATCACATAAAAAGCGACATATGAAGCCGTGAACACATTTTAATGCTGGTAAATTTTTTGCTTTTAGGTCCGTGGGACAAACAATTTGTATACAATGGCCTCTGCAATACATGATAAAAAGGATCATCCAATATAGATATGCATACCTACAAATGTGTCTAGCACCAAAGACCTTGACTATAATATAGTTCTGATTTTGTTGCTAGTCTATAATCGTATATTGTTCCTGCTTTGTAATTTCATATATGCTGCATGGCATGACGCTTTCCCCCAATATTCTTCTTTCGGGTTCAAAAACCTTAAAACGCAATGTTTTAGTAATTGACAGGTTCATCGTGGGAGAAAATAATTCTACAGGGCGTAGGAGGACGAATATTCCATTATCTGTGATCTATTTCATGCAGAGGTTAAAAAAATGTGTTACATAATTGATTTTTTTTACCCCAGTAGTACATTTGATATATTTGATCAACTGTTAAATCATTTTATCACTGACTAACATTCGTAAGTTCTTTTCGTCTAAACATACCTTTGTATTTAATAAGATACTTCTTTTCTGTACAGCGAAAACATACAAACGCAATTAAAATCTTTAAGGAATTTTATTTCATTAAAATTTAAGAAAATATTTGGTGGTCAAAATTAAATCTATATGCATAAAATGTAATTTTTAGCATCAAAAGGTTAATGAAAATAATTAATTTTGCATTAAAAACGAAAAAAATTAACCTGTATGAAGTTTGCTAACCCTAAAAGGAAAAAAGATGGTTAATTAATTGTAATTATTGTCCTGGAAGTTGATGAACAATTGATACATCCTAATTTTGTTATAGTTGATTTATAATATTTTTGACTGTAAATCTAAAATTGTCAAGTTTTGCTGAGTTACTAACCTAAAAAAATTGTCGATAATTTCTTGAGAAAAGAATATTGAAGCGTATCAATTTACTTGACATTTAAAACAAAAGACATCGGTAAGAAAAATGGTCCCTTTCCCCCAATAATTATTTTAATAAAATGACACTATGTGATATATAATGTCACGATATGCTGTAAAATTGATAGTTACATTATATTCTGCACGCTGATATCATCAGATCGTTTGTTCAAGAGCACGTAAAAAAACGACATAAAAGTATTAATCGTACAATGATCTAGCGGGAATTACGTAAGCACGGTTTCAAATATTCATACAAAAATCTAGAAACCATCACTAAGGAAACAGATTTGACAATAACTTGCAATTTCTTTCTGTCTCTTGTCTGTTGTCTAAGCACGCGCACACTGAGCTGAGAGTTACTATTGATTTTTTGGGCTAAGATGGACAAGTTCTAGAGAAGATACGAATAGGCCGTCCCCTCTCGAAGCGTTTCATGGAATCAGATCGTTGACATGGTTTATCGTTTATCCAAGGCAGACAGCGAGAACAATCATTTCGGTTCCATTACATCTGAATGAATTCTGAAAAAAGGGACATGTAAACTGAATGAGATGTCTTCTGTAAACGGGGTCGGACGAGGCAATGCATCACAAATATCAAGTCTAAAACTGTCTCAGGAGTGCTTTAAAGAAAATCGTTTTTTCTTCGAAGTTTTTCTCCGCAGGGGTATCCTGTCACTTTCAGAAGAGCACTGTTAAATTTTTTCTTTCCTATAAGTGATAATCCGTTGCTTCAAAGTATTTTCATGCCGTTGTCAGTGAATTCAGCGGATGGGAGGAAGTTGTCAGTTTCATCCTTTGGTAAAAGTCTTGATGTGGCATAATACGAAACCGTCAATGGTGGATAAGATTGGAGACAGATTTGGTTCACTGACTTTTTCACGTGTGCGGTTGGAACGGTGTCTTGAACGGATTATACAATGGATTGTTGTAGTAAGAAGCGAGTATTGATGGTTATGACAAGTGCATGTGCGTGTGCAGCATTTGGATTACTGGCTATCGGTGTCGCTACAGACTATTGGCTCTTCACGAGTGATCTCCAAAAAGAATCGGAAAACGACACTGACCTGTACGAAAATCACTGGTCTGGGCTTTGGCGCACGTGCAGAGTGGACGGTAAGGTTGTCCAGTAATAAGGTTATTTGTCTTTATAATGAGCCGTGTGAGAACCATTACAGCGGTCAGAGAACCAGATTACAGCCAGTCACGTGTTATTAGCTTTGTTTATTCATTCGTGATCAAAATGGTCAAAGAAATTTTGATGAGTAAGCCCTGATTTTATTTTTATCTTAAAGATCTGACACTGATGACGTTATTTGTGTAGATAAAATCGGTTGTTATGATTTCCATGTGTGATGATAACCGTTGATTCTTTTTCTTGTATATTTGACCTTGCTGAAATCAATACTTCTAGCAGCTCGAGGGATCAGACTTAATTAACCGAGACCTCATCTCAAAGTCGACCTTATATGGCTTTATGGTAGCTGATTTACTAGGAACTAGGAGAGAATTTGAGACTTAAGTGTCAATTACTTGAGGCTTTAATTTTCATAAATTTTATGGGAAGCTGCAAAGGTTTTGCCATGTAGTTGAATTTATTAAACAATTATAGGTATTATTGAAAAAAAATATTTTCCATGGGTAAATTGATATTATTCTTTTTTGTTCTATATATCAAGGAAAGGGTTGTCACAAATATGATTGTTATTTTTCCCCTAGTCTATTTGAGAAGTATAGTCTAATAGTTTTTATAGAGGTTCAATCCTCAAAGGAGCATCAGAGCGAATAGCCACGTTCACATTTACACTAAATTCTGTCATTGTATATCATCGGTTTCGTAAATTACTCCACATTTTGTAAGTTTGTGAAGGCTCTAAAATTGCTATTATAGCAAATGATACACGAGGTATTAATCGTCGGGTTCGATGTACGGTTAACACTGCTCTGGGCTCCAGAAATGATAGACGTCCTTAAAGGAGGTGAGAATGCACCAACGACAGAATTGCACTTTGTAGAAAGCATATCTAGAGAAATGGAACCTAAAATACATATCGATTTTCCCCTGATAAATTTATTTAGACGCTTTATGATATTAATGAAATCAACAAATTGAATATCAATAGTAGAATAAATATGACTTTGCGCCATGAATGTGATAAAATTGTCCCTTTTCGTTACAATGACGTGTCCGTGTCTTCAAGAGAAAAATTACTCAGATATGAATTTCTGATTTTATATCGTTCCTGTGCGTTATCAACCAATGTTCAGGGCAGAAAATACATTTCATTAATTTCATTTCAATCCCATGATGTGGTTTAAAGCTGGGTCGATTTTGAACAATGTAAAGAATAAAATAGACAGGACGCTAAGTGAATCATGGCTAGTCATAGATAAAGCCTTTGAAGTGCTTCATAAATGTGAATTTTTTCATCAATTTAGTCCATTCTTTGATGTTTCATTACATTATTGCATAATAATCAAAGCAGTTTAATAATATTTGCACTAAACAGAATCGAACTCATCTTCAAATCGGTCAGACTTTGTGTGTTTGCATTGAAGGACATTTAATCATTTATGTGCAAGATATGTAACCCAGATTCATAACTTCCACTAAATACAATACAGTTGTTATTCAAATTTATCACTTATTTAACCACTAAATACAATATAGTTGTTAAGAAGTTTAGACAAAAGTGATTAAAGGTACTTGGACACAGATTTGAAGTTAATATTTTCTCATTTTTTCTGTGTAATATCACGAATTATATATTTTAATAGCATTTCACACAAAAATTAATTAAAAATCATATTTCATTTAAAAGTTATTAAAACTTTAAATTTTTTGGCAACATTTCACAAATTTTAACTTTATTCTTAACTTTTTGATGTGTTTTAACTTTTATCCAGAGTAGAAATGTCAAAACACCTCACAAGTATCGTCATTCCGAGCATATCAGCACACTATGTACAATTTTTGTATAGTTATTGTGTACCGAACTAACAGTCTGCTTACCACAACTGCACGGACTGACAATATATTGTGTGTTTGTTTTGCTCTCGAACGTGTCTACTCTGAATTTTCTGGATTAAATTAATATTTTTCATTTATACAAAACGAGATTGCCACTTTTCCTAAGGATTAAGAATAAAATTAAATTTGTGACAATTTGAAATTTCAATATCTTTTAAACGAAATAAATTTTTAAATTTTTGTGTGAAATGCTATAAAATATATTTATATGGAATATAATAACTTCAAAAATCCTTTAAATACAATAAAACTTGAAAAAAGCGTATTTTTATATGGTTTACTAAAAATCCGACAGAAATCAAGCCAAATTAGGGCAAACTTTCAAAAATAATTTAAAGCTGTGGTGTTTCTATAAGTAGTTTGACCAGTTTACCTTAAAGAATTGGCAAGAAAAATGTCTGTCTTCGTGTTTTCTTTCTGCTGTAATATCAGAGCTAAAGACACTGCTCTAGAAATCTATGCAACTTTGATATAAATTACGAAAACTTTTCTCTAAATACTCAGTAGTCATTTTGAAGGCAACATGGAATGTACGGATAGCATCTATCGATCCGCATGACCATACTTTTACTAGTTTATAGGCTTGATAAAATAACAATTTTGAGCAGTGTTTGGGCATTAATGAACAAATTAAATGAATAGGTTCCAAACATCTTCACTTTCGCCCCAGTATTGGTACATCTCTTTGTACATCACGTTCTGCCCGTCTCCTAATGCTGACGGGATCGATTCGCCGGAGTTTTAATTATAAAATCAGGGAAGGAGTGTTCGAAGTGGATACTGCTACTTAGGTGCTTTATACAAAGTACTAGTTTCTATTAGTGTTTCGGGCTCGCAAAACCACTTGGCATTCGTAAATTAATATCGACAGGTACTAAATGAACCAGGCTATGTAAATGAGGATCGTTGGGAATTCGTTATTGGTGATTATAAGCCCCTCTTCTGATATTGACTTTTCCGTAGTCAATTGATGATTTTTCTTCATTTAGGTTTTTTTTTTTGCTCTGAACGATCATCGAGGGAAACTGTGTTTTATCTGTGCTCTAGAGTTGCATATCATTTTCACGTTTTGCAAAGTTGTTTAAGCTTGTCTTTTGTACATTCACTGTAATCCTTTTTAAGTTTTCTTCTAGACAGTCAGAATTGGTAGATCTTTTCATTATTATTGATGTGAGTAATTGCTAGAGCCCATCAGTGGACCTTTATGCTTTTGTATTTCGAGGAAACATTTGGTCAAAACCCATCGATTTGAAATAACTTTTATCATTTTTTGTCTGTACCAAGGGTCAGTATTGGTATTCAATGTAGTTAGCTCAAAGGTATTTCAACCCTCTAAATGAAGTGTTTTGTTCGGGTTAATAGGAATGCCATATTCAGTTCATTGTTACTTAAATTTTACTATGATTTGACAAATAACCATGACCTTTATTGTGAAGTGCTGCTTGTTAAGTCAATTGTCAAATAAACCGTCTGTAAACTGTAAACTGTCATTTGTTAAAGTTGTTAAAAACAGATTTAGTGACTTTCAATGGGTAAATTAGACTACGTTCGAAAGTATTTTTAAGACATACAAATGGCACGAGGAATTGAACATTTGAAAATTGCTCGCAATTTTCTTGCTTGCTGTGCACATTATGGCTATAAATCAACTTGTTTATAAGTTAGAGCTAAAAGTTTCCAGTCAATCATATAATCTAGCTACGACTATCCACAACTTTATACGCATATTCCTCTGTCAACAAAACAACTTCGTCAAAAACAACTGCATTTTGGGACTGGTAAATGACAAATAAATCGTAATAGGGATTGAAGATAACCAATTGAGCATTAAATGTGTGGGCAAGATTTTGTCATCTTTCGGGATGGATGCGTCTTTGTCATGTTCTTCGAATATGGTATCGGGCATTGAAGAAAACAGTCGTCTGTTGACACGTACAGAGATATGGCCGTCGAGGGACATCGTGAGATACGCGTACTTTCCTCTAAGACTGTTGAGATTGAGTAGGTGCATATACCCTACTTTTGACTTCCCCCCTGGAAGTGACATCGGTAAATCACTCAACACCTAAAGTAAATGGGCAACAATGTTTGGCAGACTGGTCATAAAAAGTATTTTGTTCTAGAGCATGTGGTACTTATTGATAGTTATGTCTGAGTTCGAATCGTGATGCGTTGTAATTTCTGGACACTTTTAAGACTGAAAATAGGAGTGGAGTAATATCTATGGTATAAATCAGAACATGACTATCGCAACCGCATTTGTTTTTATAATTTAAAAGATTTCTTTATTGACTGATTGTATGTTGTTTTACGTCCAATTCGAGAGTTTAAAACATATATGGTATGGACCCCCTCTTTCCATTTTTAAAATTTTTTAAAATCTGGGTTCGAGTCACCTTTTTCCTATTCTAATATGCACTATATGTTATCAATAATGTAACTCTTGTGTCTATAAGCTGTTTTAAAATATTTCGTTTTCGACATTTAAAAACAGCTAAAAGAGACAAAAGAGTTACATTATTGATAACATATAATGCATATTAGAAAAGAAATATAGGAAAAAGTTGACTCGAACCCAGATTTAAAAATTTTAAAAAATGGAAAAGGGGGGTCCATACCCCAAGTGCCTGTGGACGGCACTCGGAACCAACGAGCAGGGAGGGTTCTTTATCGTCCAAATGCTTACAGTGTCAAGGTACCTCAGTTTTACGTTTAGGTTTAATGCCTCATCCAAAAGAGACTATACTTTCACTTCTAGTGTCGGGTGCTTGGTGAATCCTTAGTTTTATGGGTCGCAGCGAACGAGGAACGAATCACAGCGTCCTTCCACTAGACTTCCGTGTTCGGTCTACTCATATATATAGGGACGTCAACGACTTCAAATTTAGACCTATACTTGGCACTCGGGGCCATTGAGTATTGGGGATTCTAAATGATGCTAATGCCTACCGTAATACGGAACCATGGGTTTTAAACCCCGTGACTTTCACTCCTAATGCCGGGCGTATGGCGAAGGATCAGTCACTAACTATGTTTACGCCTAAGGTTTGACATCACCACATTTTATTGAAAAACGTACAGATCT